TTCGGTGCAAAGGCACGGCTACCTTTCAAGATGGCGCAGGTATCCGTGAAGGAGACTATTCTGGTATTGTTATCTAAATAAAAATTCACCTGAATTCTATACAGTTTGTTGTCAGTTCTGTGTTTCAGTGCTTGTACTGGTGTCCCCATTGTTTGCTTGCCCATCTTTTTAAAAACAAAAAAACTTATAAATATTGACTCCTTTGGGCCAGCTGTCCTCTGCATCAACATAATAGAGATAATAGAGATAATCAATAATTGCATTTAAATTAATATTGGTTGACACTTAAAACATCATGATATTATGACATCATTTTTGTTTAAATGATGGCTCAACCATGTCACTATACCCTCCATATGAAACCCCTTACAAAATCAGCTCTTGTATGGGTGCAGAGAGAGGGATGATATGATACAATATGTTTTTCTAAACACAATATTTCTCAACAAACCTGACACTGGTACATATTCCTTGGACTTTGGTTAAAATCAGAGAAAGGTGTCATACTTGCAATAGAACTCAACATGGCTGTCTGCTTGTTCTCGATATGTGTTGTCACCTGAATAAATAAGAAGAGTTWTCTTATAACTGGCAGTGAAAACACTTGCATTTGAATAATGCTAAATACCCCTTTGTACTCAGAAAGGATAAGAAATATATCAATGAGATGATTGCCTTGACATGGGCCTCAGAGGGAAGAAGACGTAAAAGGTAGACCAAAAACAACTTGGCAATGAACAATTGAGAGAGAAAGGAAGAACTAGAATTTGGTACATGGGAGAAAGCAAGAGCAGTAACAGCGAACCAAGAAAAGTGGAAAAGCTTGACAAAGGTCTTATGCACAACTGGGTGTGAAGTAGTGAAGTGAAGTGAAGTGAATTACCCCTTCATGAATTTCCTCTTTTACAATCGCTATATCCATATAAACCTACAACAGTCAACAGAAAATAATCATCACTATACAGTTGTAACATTACTATGATAAANGCACGAGAGAAGCGTAGGAAACCACGACGCGTAGCGGAGTGGTTTCCAGCTTTTCGAGTGCTCTCCCTACATCCCAAGTGTTTTGATCAGAGTATCAAACACGGAATTTCGTCTTTTATTTCTTTTCTAAAATTAAAAGAAAAAAAGAAATTTTTGACGTGCGCGAGCGTGTTTTGATACTGTAATCAAACATGGTTTTCGACCAATCACAGCGCGCGTAGTATCCTAAATATTTTAGAATATCTTGTGTTAGCTCTACATTTACCTTTAGCACCATTAGATACAAGTGGCCACCAAGCAGGACCTCCTGCATCATTGGGCTATCAGCTGACTCTGCTGCRCACTTGCCCAAGGCTAATGAATACAGTTTACGTGTCATAAAACTATAGAGATAACAAAACACAGTAAACAGGAATCATGCACAAGAATCAAGCAGTTACCATTAAATATCATTACTGTTTGTAAAAAAATTTTCATTAGATATTCTTACGTTAACATGTTGAACTTGTCTAATAAAGTTTCCAAATGAATACAAACACACTGCCTACAGAAAAAAACAAAAAATGTCATGTAATAACTACAGGTCGAATAAAGAAATATATTACTAATACCTTACTACTTACTTCAATAAAAACTGTGCAATGGCTTCATCAGAATACCATTCGGGGAGTCTTATTTTTACTCTAAATCTCTCACCTGCAATATAAACACATCAAATGTAACTGATCAATGATACGATCTAAACTTGACAAATTCATAGAATCATACCTATRTATTTTAGTACAGTTTTTTGGTTGGTGGCWCCCTCCTCTTGAGCTGTCCGTAACATAGTTGCAACACAACTAGARTGGAACAAAATTGAAAATTGTTCTCTGACATTATCTGAGGTTGGAATATACTGTATGGTGTTAAACATTTTAAATAGAGATTTATTGGATTACTGGATTTTTTGGATCAAATGAACTTACTCTTTCAAAAATGTATTCTCTTCCTCTCCTTTTATGAGTTCTTGATAAATATGTTGGTCTGTTGTACTTAGAAGAGCCTTACACACACAAAAAAAACTCAATATTAAATATTTGCTGTTAAAAAATTATTATTAATATCATTCTATAATACCTTTAAGATGAAAACTATAGGAATATAAAACAGCTCTTTATTGAATCCAAAACACATATTGACACTTCCATCAGAGAGATAATGTAGGATCATATTCTGYAGAAAGAAATCAAGAAAAATTGTATTATTTCAGTAGGCAGATAGCAGCAATACAAAATTGAAGATCTTAGGATTCTGAGTGTATTTTTGCTATTGGATTGCCTCAGATCACACCTTCAAGATACCCTTGGGATCAATGATGGATTGGTTCAGGGTAATGCCACATGATCCACTTGATGGATCAATGATGGATTAGTTGTACTTACAACAGCAGTTTGATCCTTTCTAACKGATCTCATTTGAATACCATATTCTGTATAAAGTGGTCCTCTGTTTTTCCAAGTAGGTCGTACAATAGCCATGGGCTGAACACAAAGAAACAAAACACTTATGAAAGTTCTATGTACTGCAATAAAGGGGAAATAAAAGCTTGAGACAAAAATAAAAGGTGTAGACAGTATAGTCAAATAAAAACAACAGAATTCTATACAATTGTGAACTACTAGGATTTACAAGACCTATTTCAAAGTCTGATTATGTGTCTTGCCAATGTAAATAATAGGATACTCTCAACATTTATGAAATAATATGGCCTCTAATATGACTGGTTTTTGTACTTTACTCTATTACAGCTAAGTACATGGAAAGTATTGAATACTTACATAATTTCTTCTTGGTAATATTAGCATTCTTATAATTTTTTCTATTCCATTGATTATGAAGTATCCACCAGCTTCCTACAACCAATAATATTTTTTTTTAATTACAGTACTTGCAAAAACAAACTAAAAAACAATAACTACAATTTGAGGTTGATCAAATCTTGCTTTATTATAACAACATAATAAAGCAATGCACTGTCTATCAAACCAGAGTTATTTTATATAGTCAATTTTCATTGTTTTCAATGATGAATTTTAAGTATGTATTAAGGATATTTTATTACCTCAGCTTCTTCATTGTGTCGAACCAATTCTTTTGGAGAAAGTTTAGATAAAGAGCAATTGTTACACTAGAAATCAAGAAAGCATAACTCAACATTGATATAATAATCTGAGACAAACAGTAAATGCATGGCATAAAATTATTGAGTCCTGTTGAAACTACAATGTTAACAGAGTCTTCTTTATCCCAGTGAGAGTGAAGGAAATGAAGCCTTGTCGCTCTTGCAGGGTTAAAGAAAAGATAACTATTAGAAGAGTCATCAAAAACACACCTTCACCATCATAGGCACCAAAGCAATTACTTTTGAACAACTGCCTTGAACTTCATTGTCTATCTTCCATTGTACTGTAACATGCAGCTTTCCTTTGTAGGTTAAGCCACCTTCACGACACTAAATAGTAGAATAACACTATAAATACAAGAGATATGTATAACCAACAGTTGTTTTTTTTTTATTTCATCTATAAGATACAGCATTAAAAGTCTGAAACACTTTCAGAGAATACAACAATCATAACTCATTTTGGCAGTAAATATACCTCAGTGGGGAAGACTTTCATTTGGGATGAATGTAAATTGGTTTCTGAAATGGTAGGTGAGCCTATCATTGCATCCTATAAAACAAGACAGAAACAATTAGAAAAAAAACAATGATACATCTAACCTAAATAGTTTTACAAATATAATCCTAGTTGTCAAACTTACTGTAAAATATAGAGTGACTTTCTGCCCAGCGGCTGTCATGAATTCAATAGGTGTTATCCCCTACAATAATTACAACAACGTATTGAAGACCTTTGAAGAATGCTTTACAATTTGTGAGGGTTTATCTCAAGGGAATAATGATGAGCACTAATCATTCCCATACATTAGGCTACAAACCTATAGTTCTTCTATGGGTCAAGATTTTGTAATGCTATTTCTCAAGGATTGAAAATCATGATTCAGTGGTAATTTGACAAGTTGATACACCTGGTTTTCACTTTAACTGGTGAATATTTCATATGCAAYCAAAGTGGTTGCTAACTTGGGGAATTCTAAAGGGAGTTAGTTCCACACAGGGGTTGATTGAGTTTTGGTGGGTGGGGGAGGTAACCCCCCTTTCCCCCTGAGACCTTGCATCCTTCAAAATTTTCCCATATTTTGTGTCTCCATGACTTTTTTCATTATTAATATTTTTGTAGTGCACTCCCTCAAGATTGTCCTAAAAACACCTCCTTGAATAAAACCCTGGATCCGCTCCTACAACCATCCCAAAATGCTATATAACCCAGTAACTTATTACAAACCTGTATGGCAAGTGACAGTCCATCCTCGAGCATGAAATTAAACGATTCGATATGCGGACGAACCAAGTCCTGCATGACCTAAAAAAGCACGTGGACGAATAAGTTGTTACTTTACTGTTTAGCCCAACTAAAACTACCCCAATATACTCTTCTTCTATGTTATACGGCATTCATTAATAATATAGATAAGTCTTTATTGTACCTTTTTCTGATGTTGAGATAACTTTCCATAGCCTGTGGAAGTCAAATTCTTCAAAGTTGGAAGCGAAGTCGCGCTTCTCGGACCCTCCACAGCCGCCATCTTGAAAACATAACACCACGTGAAGAACAGGAAGCCCACATGGAATTCTCTCCCCAGATCTCACTCGTCTTATGTTATTTTGCCGCCATTTTCGATATTTGTGGAAGAATATTTGAGGAAGTTTTGGAACAAATTATATTATATATTGGTGGCAAAATACGGTATACTGTGGTAACATGCCTCGAGAAATAATAACCCTACAAGTTGGACAATGTGGCAATCAAAGTGAGTCAGTAGAAATACATTTTTCTTGAAATGATAGTTTGAGCTCAAACCTTGCTGTAACAGTACAACTTTAATAGCTTTTTACTTGTACTGATACTTAAACTTATATTCTTGCACCCAAATCTCGAGATTATGCTATTTAGCATTTCCTTTTATGCTAACGAAATTTCATTGCTTGCTATAGTTGGGATGGAATTCTGGAAGCAGCTTTGTGCAGAACATGGAATAAGGCCAGGTAATCCATGCATGAAAATTCTCAATGTTTTTCATAAAACATTTCTTTATCAAACTCTCTTTTGAAACTAGATGGCATTCTTGAGGATTTTGCTACTGATGGGACTGATAGGAAAGATGTCTTCTTTTACCAGGTGAATATGCCTTGAATCTTTGTAGTTATAATTATTCACAGTCACAGTAGCTTTGTACATAATAACATTGGAAGCATTATTCAAATGCTGGATCCATGACAATTTTTAACTTGAAAACATGCATTTGATAGGCAGATGATGAACACTACATCCCAAGGGCTGTTCTTCTTGATCTGGAACCAAGGGTATGTTGATATCAAGATGCATTATTCCCTCTTGTCTTTACTGAGTCACGGATTGAGAAAGGAGACACTTTTTAAACATGCCAAAGTTGGATACCGTATACTTGATGATCATAAAGATATCATCATAGAATCAGAATTGTCATCAGTTAGATTGATCATCATATATCAGGTTGAGTCTCCTTGGGAGCATTAAAAGGTGTCTATCCACAATGGTATAAACTATGTAGCATGAGATAGTTTAATCTCATCAGCTGTCTGCATGCCAGTGTCTTTCCTGAGTTAGTCCAAATAGGACAGACACTGTCCACCCCAAAATGTACTGTAAGCATGTTTCAGTTGTCAGTGCACAAGATCAGATTTTTATCTCTTGGAAATACTTTATAATCATAAAAAAAGCTTGTGTATCTTTTAGTGTATGACAGCATCTGAATTCCTTCACTTCCATGGAATTCAAAGAGGTTTCAAAACTCCATTTTTTCAATTTCTGCTTGCCATAAATAGGTGATTGATGCCATCATGTCATCTCCATTCTCTAATCTGTACAATCCTGAGAATATTTACACATCACAACATGGTGGTGGAGCAGGTAATAACTGGGCCAGTGGATATTCACAAGTGAGTAGCTAGTTAATAAAAAGCTAATAATACTTGTAGTATTATTGATAACATGAAGATCAATGGTTACTATAATTTTAATTTAATAATTATTAGACCAAGTTAGACAACGTCTTCTATTATGAGATTATGAGAAAGCATGAATGACAATTATTGTTAGGTGAAAGTGTTTTCCTTTGGCTTTGTAGGCTGAAAAACTTCATGAAGAAGTGTTTGATATTATGGATAGAGAAGCTGATGGTAGTGACAGTCTTGAGGTGAAAGAATAGTTGTAATGTTTTGTGTAATTATTTGATGTGTTATTATTTTATTCATGTTTTTTTATATTACTGCTTATATTTATGATATTAGAATACTTGTTTTGTATCAATTGGCTATATTTTATGTTTTGTGTCATTTCATTTGTATGTGTGTATTTTTTTGTCTGATTTTAAATGCAAACCCTCATTTAAATCACACTATTTTCCAGGGTTTTGTGATGTGTCATTCAATTGCTGGTGGCACAGGATCTGGAATGGGCTCTTATCTTCTGGAAAAACTCAATGACAGGTCATTCTAATGTCTACATTGAAAGATTGATTTTAGCATAGTGTTGGGCATCCTGTGTTCCTTCTAAAACACAGGAAGTCCAAAAGTGGTTAAGGGATAGGATTGACAGCTGGGCAAGCTTCATATGTGCCCGATTTGTCCCACAGCTACTATTGGACTTCCTGTGTTTTTGCTCATATTAGTTTACTGCTAGTTTCCACCTTTCTGTGTTTTAAAAAGTACACAGGAAGTCCAATAGAGCTCAGATCGTTTATTCAGTCATCTTGTTGTTTTTAACAGATACCCCAAGAAGCTGATTCAAACGTATTCAGTATTTCCACAGCAGGTATACTATATTTATTATGGAAATCTCAATTCTCCTATTTGCATGTTAGCATTTTTGATTGACTTTGAAGAGATCTTTTTGATATTTATGAATCTTGCTTTCTTGATGAAAATTTCAGTACCTCATTTTAGCTGTTTAGGTCTGTAGCCTGCGTGGCGGCTCTAGGGGAGGGGGGAGGGAGAAAACGGAAGGGGAGGGGGTGGGGAGGCAGAGCGGAAAAAAAAGAGAGCCTGCCAGAATGAGCCGCTAAATCGTGTACCGCCTACTAGAGGTCATTGAACCGGAAATGGTTCGTTACTTGTCAATTTCATGTTATGTGTTTGTCACCTTCTTATYACCAGATTTATTTATAGTTCAAAGCGCCTTTCGAAAAGCAAACATACTACGGTAGACTGTCTTGCAAATTCAACAAAGCAACACATGAATTTCGTGTATGTACGTTATGACATTTGACCTTCATCYTTCTATAGTAATAAAGACTCTTTGAACTTCGGCTGAAAGGTTCGGCTGTACGTAGAATACACATTCACGGATGCTATTTTAAAAACATGTAGCTACTTATGCTACTCTTTACAAAATGACAAATCTATATAGCCTATCCAACAGAGATGCACTCGACTTGTTGGACAATCAAGATCACAGTTTTCCCTCAATGACTTTTCAATGTAGCGATCACTGAAATTCGACTTTGTAAACCATCTTTCCGTGTTGTTTTGGTTTTTAGAGTTCTCGAAATAGCCTGGATATCGTTATTTTGACAGCGAATTGAAAACGTCAATCACAGCGCTGATTTAAACCAATCAGGAAGCGCGGCCTCTGGAGGCCGCGAGTACACGATTTAGCGGCTCGTTCTGGCAGGCTCTCTTTTTTTTCCGCTCCGCCTCCCCACCCCCTCCCCTTCCGTTTTCTCCCTCCCCCCTCCCCTAGAGCCGCCACGCAGGCTATTTAGGTCTGTTGAAGCTAAGCATTATAGAGAGCTCATAGGTGGAGTTATATACTACTGCATAAATAATTCAGTTATATTTCTTTTCCAGGAAGATATCAGTGACGTGGTTGTACAGCCATATAATTCTATGTTAACCCTGAAAAGGCTAACGCAAAATGCTGACTGTGTGGTAAGTACTAAATAATATTCATAACTTATCAGCAATAATATTTTATTATGAGACAAGAGAATGTCAACTAATGCTATTGTGATTTGTGATTTGGGAATATATAACGGAATACCTAACATTGTGCGAGAGGAAGATGAGTTTCTTTTTAAGAATTTCATTATAAGAGAAATATCCAACCTCTATTTCCCATGAACAATCCATCTATAATATTAGACAACCATTGAGACATTAAGCAGTATACCCTGGTTTTATCCCAGCCCATAGCTGCTTCCTCTACCTTATTGATAACACTAGTCAGTGACAGGAAATACTAATATCACAGTCTTGATATCTGTGATCTGTAAGAAGCATCAAGTATTTGAACAAGTGACCCTTCATTTTATTAACCTGAAGTTACATGAGTTACATGTAAAAGTCGAATAATCATTAAATTTTGTCAAATCTGTAGGTTGTTCTTGACAACACAGCACTGAACAGAATAGCAGCAGACAGACTTCATATCCCTAACCCTACATTCTCACAAGTCAACCAACTTGTGTCGACCATCATGTCAACAAGCACAACCACTCTGAGATACCCAGGTATCCTTGCACTTTCAATTTCATTTGCTTTAGAAATCCTATTTTTTTTAACTTGACTGCGCACACGGAATGGAGACCATTTTAATAGTTACAGTCCTAAGGGCTTTACGGCGCAACAAGTAAAAGTGTTGCCACTGAGAATATGTTCGCATAATTCTGTTTCGCTTATCAATCCAGTTAGCATATTGATCCCAGACAAGATAACAGAATCCTACAACAATGATTGGTCAATTAGAAAAAAGTATGCAAAAAAGGGCCACACTTTTATGTATTGCAGTGTAAAAGGATTATGTTGCACTGTCATTAAAARAGACAGAGTCCAGATTTCTAAAGAAGTTTTTTCTATGAATCTCAAAATATTAAAAATACTTTTTTAGGTTACATGAACAATGATCTAATTGGTTTGATTGCCTCACTAATCCCAACTCCAAGGCTTCACTTCTTGATGACAGGATATACACCACTAACAACTGACCAAAAGGTGTGTGACAGTTGACAATTGCAAGTAGAATATAAAACATTAGTGTTGCCTTGCAATCAGAAGGGGCAATCTAGAACATTTCTACTGAAGAAACGTAAACTCCCCTGACATTGGGGAGGTATGGAGGGGCTGAGGCAATGTTAAAACACAATTTATTTAATTGTCTGTTTAACAGCATCAATTCACAGTAAAGAGGGGTAATTAATGTGTAAATCAAATGATCTGATTCCCTTGGTATTAGTGACATTGGTAAAGTTACATTTATCCACTTGACATCTTGTAGGTGGCTAGTGTTCGTAAAACAACAGTTCTTGATGTGATGAGAAGACTTCTCCAGGTAATCTAGAGACTTATTGCATCTAAAATCAGGGGCAGATCTAGCAATTTATGAAGTGGGGGTGTGAAGCTCTGTATCCACCGACCTCCAGGGGGGGGGGGGTTAATTGAGATCCTGAGAAAAATGATTTCCAGAATTTTGAGGGAGATTGATAATAGTTCTTCCCTTATTATTCAGCAAATGAACATATAATTCTAACATGTTATGCTTATGATTTAGCCCAAGAATGTCATGGTATCAACACTGAGAGACAGGAAGCACAACCACTGCTACATTTCCATTCTTAACATTATCCAAGGAGAAGTTGACCCAACTCAGGTAAGACATTGCTACATAAGTGAGAAGTAGCATTATTTTGATTACTACTGTAGGTAAAATATAAAAAACACTAGTTAATCTTTCTTATAAAATGAAAAGCAGTAACAGATGCTGTAACATCATGATAAAATGACAGTGTAGTACAAATATAATGAATAATTCACAGTATGTAAGTACTCTGTTCTAATTTTAAAATCTACATGACTAAAGTTCTATTCATTCACTTGTCAGGTTCATAAGAGTTTGCAAAGAATAAGAGAGAGAAAACTTGCTGAGTTTATTCCATGGGGTCCAGCAAGTATTCAGGTAAATATTGTAAATAATTCACTTATATAGCTCATGTGCAAAGAAAGCATTTATTTTAGATGTACATGGAAGGAAAATTCCTTCATATAAAGGGAAATTTCCAGCAAACAGATGTGCATTGGGATAAAGATTAAATAGAACTTCTGGCACCTTGGAAAACCACAGTTTTGGGAGCTGGGGGAGATTGGACTGGGCCCATACTTTCCGTTTGCCCAATCTCCACCGTGTGGTCTTGGAGGATGGTCACCTTACTGTACATTGTGTTTTCTATTTAGGTTGCACTTTCAAGAAAATCACCATATGTCCAAACAGCTCACCGTGTCAGCGGTCTAATGTTGGCCAATCACACCAGTATATCAACAGTAAGTAATGATAATCTGTCATTACCGATACCCTTGTAAAAATATTTATTAAACAGTGTATTGAATGGGCAGGTTATGCRTCAACAGAATGACTGTCTCATTCACTCATTCACTTTTAGGTATTTGAGAAAAATTGTAAACTCTATGATAAACTTCGCAAAAGAGAGGCCTTTTTGGAAAATTACAAGAAAGAAGCTATTTTCCAGGAAAACCTCGACGAATTGGATGATTCAAGGTAAGGACGACATTCGACCTGACTGTTATGTTTGGCGGAAAGGAAGGACCCTGTGCCATTACTTGTTCTACCGCTGGCTCTTACTACTGGTGTTGCTGTCGGCGTGTGGTCTTGCTAATTAATGTATGTTTATTTTCTTAACATGTTTTTCTTACAGAGAAGTTGTGCAGGAATTAATAGACGAGTATCAGGCAGCATGTAAAGCTGATTATATTACATGGGGAGTGCAAAAACAACAAAAACAACAAGTAAGACACAGTTAGGAAATCCCATTTTTAAAACGACCTTTTGTGTGCTGATAGACCTCCTCRGTCCTGGGCAACGTTCGTACCATTTCAGATGGCAATTAAATTCTTTGTTTGTTTCACACATGCATACATTGGTCTGAGATGGGGCAAACGTTGCTCAAGACTAGAAGGGCTATTTCATTGTATTGTGTATAGCAAAAAAATAYGGGTCTTTCACATGTTTTTTTCAAAAGAAAAAGCCGAAAAGAAAAGAAAAGAATAAAGCCCCACCATTCAACGACCATTCATCTTTAGCGAAAAAGAAATTMGCAAAAAWGTTGTTTCATAGTTAGTAACTATGATTTCAACCATATGACTATGTTTCAACTTTTCTTTCAGAAGGGAGCCGCCGCCTCTGAAGTGTCTCCTGTATAACTTGGAATTTTCCACATGCTCCATATTATCAATGTACATAGTGTCAGAGCAAATAGTGTATTGTATATAGTTTCTGTCGCATTTGCTTGTATCACGAGGTTGTTATTCATCGAAAGAAGACGACACGTGACCTTACCGATGGCCTTCGGTCAATTGGACTGGCTCAGAAAAGTGAAAGGGGACTATTTTGATCGATGACAATGTTTGAAATTTCCAATAGGATATTCGCGTATTCATTGAACAGAACTTAGTTAACTATGCAGTGTTACGGTGTGGTGGAATGGGTTCCCCTGGGCTCGTCTGGTAGCATGCCTAGAGGTCATTGGGATCCAGGGCCGCAAACTTTGTCAAATTCTTACAGTTATTTGGTCTTTCGCAAAAAAAGGAAACTTCAGTCGAGTGAGTGTCAGAAGTGATAAGCTAAAATAAGGCGSAATTATTCGTATTTCATGCTAATATGCTATGCGTTTTCTATGCCACTGTGATTTATAAACGTCAAATAATGTTACATCATCCGCGAAGCAAGATCAAAACGCAAAAAATTCGTATGAGAATAACAGGGTTTTGTTTTCCGAACGCTGTTTACCCAAAACTCACTTCGGTCTTAGTTTCGATCATGTCATCTGAGCGCTATATTTTTGTTTATCAGATGTGTATACATTGATAAAATGTAAATACCTGTGTACCGTATTTGGTAGTTTTGGCAAAATAAAGTTGTTATTATTATTCTTTGTTTTTTGGTTGGCGGGAAACAATTCACTTTCAGAAGTATAGATGGAACTCAACAACCTTCAATGTGAACCAAAAACAAGCTGGGGCTRAGGTGTTCTAGTTCAGTAATCATGAGTTATTTCGTTTATCTTTTCATCCTATTCCCTGATTATGCTCCTAATCATACTTTCTAAACTTCTATTACAATTACTGTCAATTCCCCAGTAAGTTCCTAAGTTTGTATAAACTTTTTTTGGTAAAGAATCATTGTAAATGTTTGCACACAACTGGCAGGTCCATGATTTTTCGCCAGGCTCGATCCGAGTGTACTTGGTTTTCCACTGAAAATATTCATTGTAAGCAGTGTCGTTTCTGTCAAGGTATTCGATGTACTTGACCAACGCTTCTATGTTCTGAAAATCCAGTATGTTTATATATGACCCCGGTATAGCGACCTTGAAATCATAATTCGACCCTAAGACAATGGGAACCATGTTGTTATCGAAGGGTGTTTCCCAGTATTTCTCAGTTATGTAGTCAGTGCACATTGCATTTTCAAAGGCTAGGTAGAACTTGAATCTTCTTAGAAAAGATGAACAATCATTTGACCCTCTTTTGCAAAAGTTTGGGGTTTTCTGATTGAACAACTTAGCACAACGACCAATAACAGTAAGAGGYAGAAAGTGAGCGATTTTGTGCACAACATCRTCTCTTAGAAGCCCACAGTGACTTGCTGCCCAGACTATTAATTTATCTTTTGGTTCAGCATAATTGGTCGTAACGTGGTTCTTAGGAATCTCATCGGGTGACAGGATCTCTCGGTAGTAACCATCCGGATAAAAAACATCRGAGTCTCGTCTGTAAGTGACCGTCCAGTTGAAAATCCCGTTGTACTGAGAAGGATCGTGRTTGGCGTTCTGAGGATTTTCATGWGTAAAATAAACCCATCTCTGCTGTGGATTACGATATATGGAAATAGACTTCAGAACATGAGCTCTAAACAAATCCGCYTCGTGAAAAATGACAGCATCACTGAAAGGCAAGTCGCATTTGTTGTAAGAAATCACGCAGGTGTGAGCACATGCTTTGCCATCTTCTCGTGTGAGATTCCAAGACGATCCCAATTTAGCTCGTGGCCAGATATCATTATCGAAGTATGGTGTGTAAAATAAAACACGCTTAAAACGTTGCTTGTCTGTTATCAGTGGACGTGTCGGGTATACTTTACAATGTGCATGGTAGCGAAAATGATGATAGAGGTTTTGGATGTCTTCTTGAAAACTTAAAAAAACAACAATGGATGAAACAGAATACACTATTACCCAAAAAATACGCCGTAATTGAAATACTCGCGAAAAAAGCATGGTCAATTTAAGGTTTTTTTGCAGCTGAAACTTCCATGGACGTTCTCAGATCAGTTTCACCAACGGAATTTGTAAACAATGCCTTCCCGCGTTTCTCACCGGACACATGCCCGATCCAGGGTTGATCCAGGGGGGTGATTTAATTAACTAGCCCATTCTCCTTTTCCTACCGCTCCTTTTCTAGGTTTCAAAAAGATAGAAATGGAACATGATTATACAGACAAAAAATACATAAAAGAAATTATAAATCTTCATAACACTCATTCTCATAAACAGCTAAAGCACTARAACCGCAGGTCCAGCCGGTTTGAGTCTCAGATCGAGTATTTAATTTCCCAATGAAGTTCGCCCTTRTATAGCAGCCGTCGCGCTCGGGGGTAGCGCACTTTAGAGCAGGCTAGCGCAAGTGGGACTAAATACAAGTTCAGTATGAACACTCCACTCATCATAAGGGTGATTTTCATCCGTCACTCCGATATCTATAACTAATACGTTATCGCTGCGTTATTGTCAGCTTTTAATCCCTTTTAAAAGACGTGACTCTGAGATCAGCAAAACGTGGTATATGCTGGGCAGGTAGAGTTGAGTCGATTATATACTATGTAAGCCCATGAATACAAAGGATTTTTTTACTTGACCAAATGGAGCTATTTAGAAGCGAAAGAGGCTAGAATAATTTCAGGTAAACTAGGAAAAATGAGATTCTTATATGGTAGGTTTTACTCCAGAAGAAATCCATTTTCACGAATTGTTTTGGGTTTCGTCATCATGACTTCACTTCGAGCTCGCGGTCAGGCCACACCTTGATTGGATTCCCGTCGACTCGCGATCCTCGCAACACTAAAGTGCTATATCCACTAGTTATTTTGTAGAACAATGCTTTCCAAATTTAAGACTCGAAGTGTTTATCTCTAGTTTTTTGTTGATCATCGTCAGTCAGTTCCAGTTTGTAGCTTGATCGTCTGAATATTGTGCATTCAATTTTTTAAAAATTGTGCTAAAATCCTGACCAATGAGCGAGCTTGCCATCCCTGAGTTTCCCAAATGACAATCCCCAAACAATTTTTTTTATGCAAAAAAGTTTGCTCTTTCTTAGCTCTAATTTAAAAAGACAACAAACATTGACTTTTATAGTTTTGTGGTTTATTATAGTATTTTAAAAAGTGGTCATGCTGACGAAAAAATATAAGCAGACTACAATAACATGTGATATAATTGAACCAATCAAAACGTCTAAACGAGACAATGAACATTCATTGACCAATCAAATGGTTTCTTCCATGATGCAATCTCGTCTTTCATCTCGTAGACTTGTGTGGTTTTATTTGGGTTCCAGGGTTGCTTTCTAATATTTCGTTACGAGTATTCCTCGAAAATAACTTATCTTTTGTTAATGCACACTAATCTAAGATGTCATCTATCGAGTCTTTCAATCGTGGGTCTATGRTAGCCGTTCCTGATCCAGCTACATTTTATCGAAGAAGAATTTGTGCTTCAGTTGGTGGTAGTGTTGGCAAGAGACACCCAGGAAAGGCAATCCTCGCCGGTAAAGTAGACAATTACATGCAATAGAGTATTCGTGTTTATTTTATCTTTTACTGTTTGATTCGTGTATTCTAAAGCCTGTCTTATGCTAAATTTCAGCGAGTGTTCGAGATCCATTCGGAGTTCAAAGGTCGTTTTGTCTACCCCCACTTTAACGGAGTACTTTTACTGCTGTACTATTTCATATTGTGCAAAAAAGTTATAGTTTTCTCGCACCCTCTATTAAAATAGCTTTCTATATATTCAAAAAATACGGGATAAAGAGATCAACCTTTTATATTGTGAAATGCTTGGATGGATCTATAGTATTCAACACATGCAAAACCAATCCTCGTACCAATCTCCGTGCTTTTATTTTGACCAAACAATAACATGTAAGCTTRCATTTTTATTTGGTAGTTGATGCAATAGTACAACATTTGGTTGTTTTCTTCCAATGGAAGATGATTTAAAATAAACGATATCTTTCCATGACAAAATTCTGCGGATTATCTGTCATTTGTAAGTTATATTTAAGTTACTTGTCCGAGTCTACGTGGCGAGCATCGTTCACGTGTGCAGTAAATTTTGTAAGTGTTCTGAATGTTGGCACTTCCAGTAAAATAACATGATGAGTTGTTGGCTAAACTACGGAAAACTGGCCCAAGGAAAAATGTCCTCTTCCTGTTAAATTTTATGAACAAAATATAATATATGTATGCAGTAGTGCACGTTGCCACAATATGACTTTGGAGGCGTGCTGGGGGTGTGTCCTGCGTCCTGCTGCAATAAGTTATTATGTCAAAATTCCTCAGATTAAACCGTAAATAAGTATTTCTTAGTCTCAATTTAATGACTATTAGTGTATGCCAATGAACCTGTGTATTATCTTTTGTTTCAGTGACTTTCACAATAAGTTAGTGGATGCAGTCTAATATTATTTCATCCTTTGATTATATTCAACGGTCTGACTGTTTATTTTATGTTTTTATGCACATTTCTTTGTTGTTGAAAACATTGATAAGCGTAATTGATAATATAAGAAAGTGGTAAGCTTCGAGTARCTGCATTTTTTGAAATTTTTTATCTGATATCAGTTAAATTTTATATTAGACAGAGTAGTTGAATTGAGGGTGTAAATTCTGTGATGGTTACCCTGGGATACTGGATGTTCTGAAAAATAAATAGAATATAAAGTTTTGAGGAGCATCCAGTTTCTAAGAGCAACTATTACTATAACTGCTAGCTCTTATTTATATTCAACAATGAAAAGTGTTGCTGCATGCGTATCCTGAGAAATTAAAATGTCTATATCAAGACATTTTATAGCATTATCTTTCTCTACTAATTCAACATTTTCATTGTACATGTAATATCAATACTGAAATGGACAATCTTTAAAATATATAGCAAAAATAATAAGCAAATCAAAACAATCTCATGGATAAGGAGGGTAATTGTATAAACGTCAGCGGAAACTATAATTCATCAGTCCTCATGTTTTTATTCAACCCGATGATGGTGGTGATGATGATGATGATGATGATGATGATAATGATTATTATTATTATTATTCAAAGGTGGTATTGCTGGTGGTTTGGAGATATGTTGTACATTTCCAACTGAATATGTGAAAACACAAATTCAACTTGACGAAAAATCGGCGACACCCAAGTACAAAGGACCAATAGATTGTGTCAAACAAACAGTTAAAGGTCATGGCTTCTTTGGATTATATAGAGGTTTAAGTTCTTTGCTTTATGGATCTATACCAAAAGCTTCAATTAGGTAAGCATTAATGTTGCAGCATGATTGCTAAATATAATATTTGTAAGTGTGATCTGGCTAATTTTTTATGGCGATCTTATGTAACACATCTGCAAGCAGCAGTATGTGRAAAGCAATAAAATGCAAAAATGGAACCAACAAGATCATTAGACATGTGGTTAACTCCAGTTTCAGTTAACCACTAAAACTGCCTAATCACCTGAATGGGATGTAAGTCCTTTGCAAGTGCTYTCCTGCATTTTAGATTTCCTTTACATTACTGATACCTGTTCATRCACCTTTATACAACAGACTGGTCCTTACTTTCCTAACTTCTACAGGTTTGCTGTATTTGAATTCCTGAAAAACTCCATGGCGGATGAAAAGGGTAAAATGACCCAAGTACAAACGCTTGGGGCAGGATTAGGYGCTGGTGTGGCAGAGGCAATATTTATTGTTTGTCCAATGGAAACCATTAAAGTAAAATTCATTCATGACCAAACTCAGCCAAACCCYAAATTCAAAGGCTTCTTTAGCGGTGTGGGAACCATTATAAGACAAGAAGGTTTGTTGTTGTTGTTGTTTGTGTATTTTAAAGAGCTACTATATAATGCCAAGTCACTGTTGTTGTATGTATGAACCCCATAGTAATCTTTCATAATACCAGTATACATATTATCCATATAAATACTGTAACAAACCGAGAAAAGGTCTAGTAAACACACAGTATTGAATTGTCAAAGTACCTTTAATTCTTATAGCAAGACTGCTAGAAGTGAACTGATTATTCGTTACAATTGTGCTCTATTTTTGTACAATTCTATGCCTAATTTAGTTACATTTGTAATCATAACTTATACATGCATAGGCTAATCTAACTCAAGATTTACRCAAGGGGAGTTTCAAAATTACGTACTAGAATAACGGAGAACAACATTACRGACTACCTCGAAAKCAGATATATGAGTTACRTTAGTCGACAAAGGAGTGTCCATGATGTCACGTATGGACTAAACGTTTTTCAAATAAAGATCACATACTCTAGCTTCACTTCAATACATGTTACATAAATCTTAGGAAGGTCTGTCTAATAGACAACTGTGGGTCAAGAAAAAAGATTWAAAAAAAAGCCTGGGAGGCCAGGCTCTAGAAAACKTCTTACAAGTTGTTAACCATTATAATAACAATTTACAATTTCAGGATTTTTAGGGATCTACAAAGGTCTTACTGCGACAGTAATAAAGCAAGGAACCAATCAAATGATACGGTTCTTTGTGTATTCCAACCTTAAGAACTGGTTGCAAGATGGTGATCCCACAAAGGACATTGGTTCTATCAGGACATTTCTTATTGGTGGAGTTGCTGGTGCTGCAAGTGTGTTTGGAAACACYCCTGTTGATGTTGTTAAAACAAGAATGCAGGTAACTTTATTGAGGATGGCAAAAAGCATCATGCCTGGTCCCTCCAAATTCTTACTAAGTTTTTGAATACTATTWCTATGTTTTCTACTTTCAATGAATATTTTTTCTGTACATCAAGAAAATTAAGTATTASATGACTCACATTAATATAACAATGCAGATGCTGCTGCTGTATTTTCTCATTTGTAAGACAATCATTTTGGGCACATGTATKTGTGAATAAATATTATTATGCTAGTAGTTAAAACCCTTTAGAGTGTTATTTCTKTCAATGTCCAGCTATTGACACTTCCTTGTTATTTTTGCAGGGTTTAGAGGCTCACAAATATAAAAACACTCTAGACTGTGTTATACGTATTGCCAAGTATGAAGGTCCAAGAGCGTAAGTATGAAATTATTGCACAACACTGAACCATGTGGGATAGGACAGGGTTTGAAGTTAACTCTTTTTCATTCTAAGGTCCCATAAACTCCTTACAAATAAATCTATAATGGTATATTATATTCATGAAATTAATCAGGTATTACCATAGCAACCTTTTCAGTGGCAAATGGATGAATTAAATTTAGGAATTCAGAAAATGAAATCTCTTTCTGTTGTGATGAAAGCTACTTTAGTTGTTGTTTTCTTTTTCAAGTAAAGTTTCTTCTTTTATTTAAGTATACCAAAATGTGGGGCAGCTAGCCAGCCTAATCACCCAACCCTTCCCTTGATCTTCCTCGCTTTTATATGAAGGAATTGAAGTATTTTTATTCTTTATTRCAGATTCTACAAAGGAACAGTCCCACGTCTTGGCCGAGTGTGCTTTGATGTTGCCTTTGTATTCACRATATATGAGCAAGTCATGAAAGTCTTAGACTATGTCTGGGAAACGTAGTTTGATTTAAAGTACATGATACATGTATCAGGAAGAAATTCTAGGAAAATTTCACAATTTTCTCACACATTTTTCCAATGTAGATTAAACATCAATTATTTTCAAAATTTAAAGTAACTGGGGACTATTATTGTTATTATTTTTTGATGTTTTGAATGACTAGATTAACGTAATTTGATGAAAGTAGAAACCAGTGATTGGAATGAACTAAAAGCCGTGGCATAGAGTCCCAATGATTTATTCAAACCTTTATTGAAGACAGAGGGTTTTGTCTTTTTCCACATTTGACTATTTAAACAAGGCTGTATCCAAACTGATCAAAACATTYTTAGAAGAAGCAAAGATTTGTCTAAAAGACAGAACATAGAAATCCTCCTTCCGGAAAATTTTTAAAAATAAGGATTATTTTYACATGGTTTTTAATGTAATATTTATGAAAATGTTATTTTCATCATATGGGAAAGGCTATTCTAAAGAAATTTGTTCAGAACTAGGAAAATGGTTAGTCCAATAAAACAATTTAGTCTATTATTTGTAATGTTAAAATCTGATTTTATTATTGCATTGGGGTTATAGACCGGTTTTCATTGAACCATGTACAATACACAATGTACCATACACTTTAGTGTACCACACTATATTTTGTATACAYGTAACTTATATTCTTTATTTGTAAAGGCTTTTTTTTCATATTACACTTTATTTTACTGGTTAATGAAAACCACTCTAACTTTAAATATATTACTTGAATCATGACTAAAACTGGACATCCTTTTCTTGATGATTTTCATAATGGCTGTTTTATTTTGAAATCATCGTTACATTTATAAATGCTTTGATACAACTTTTTTGACAATACAAGATAGCAAAGCTACACATAAAGGCCTTGTCAAAAAACCAAAAACAAAAAAAACAAACATGTAATTTGCAATTTTTTAACACCACTGGCTTCAACTATTTCTTTGGCAACACAGCATTGTATTCCTCATCTGTTTCAAGACCAATATCCTCCTGAAACCAGACATTTTTTTTATTTTTTGTTGGTACCTTCATTAGACTACATGTAAACGATTGTATCCTACTAGAAAAATACMAGTTTCTAAACTTAAGTCTATGCTAAAACTCGAGATTGATTTTAATAGTGCTGAATATTCTCAAAAACTTTCACACTTACCATAAGTTGTTTCTTGGACTTTGGGTAGTTCTCTAGTATTGAGTTTACAATGTCTGTACACTGTCAATGAAAAGCATGGTTTAATACTGGTCAATAATATGCATGTGGCATACAAGACAGAATCACACTGTGTAAATGGGCCTATGTGTGCGACTTTCTCCTGTGTCATACAACTGCAGATCCATGGCATGACACAGTGACAACTGTAAATTGAGGCTACTGTTTCATGTCTCTCAACCAGACTTATACTTTTTTGAATTAGGAAGTTGTCCTTCAGTTAGCATTATGAGGTAGAATGAGAGTTGGGGGCCATACACCTGATGATGCCAGCGTCCGGCGAAAGCTTGTCAAGACATTCTTGAATTTCAACAGTAGTGTACGGTCCTCAACACTCAATATACTTTTGTCTCGTTGTAACATTAAATGACCAGAGCAGGAAGTAAAATGAGGATGCATTGTGAAGTATGCTTACCATTCTTTTTCTCTTTCTCCAAAAATCAACTGCAGTCTTGTGGTTTTTATAGATCTATTTAACAATACAAGCTCAGTTTATTTTGTCTGTGTAAACATGAATTTCATTTGATAACTACAGTACTAACCTTGTCCTTGATCTCTGGAGTAACATGATTGTCAGCTGTTTGTAAAAAAATATATATGACAGTCTGAAGTGGAGCTAAAATTTTTGTTACTTCCTTTCAAACATAGTGATTTTATTGGTTGTGACATCAAATAAAGAATAGGACAAAAAGACAAAAATTRCTTACCACTTTTGATTTTACTAAGTCTTTTCTCATACACTTCACACTACCAGAACAAACAAACAAAATTAATCATAAAATACCTGAATTAACGAATTATTCTTCAAAAAAACAACATTTTGTTGAGATTACTTTAGAATTGAACTCCTTCAGTCTGGCTGTCGCTTCTTCTGTTGTCAAACTACTATTCAGCCTTTTCAGCTCTGGAAACAAATGTCACACATGATATTAACCTTCATGGCATACAAGGAGAAAATGGTTTGCATGTTGGAAAGGTAGCAGAATCACCTTACGAGCAAAGTTTGCCAAACATATGGTTAGAGTAGGTTTCTTACGTGTGAAAATATCACTGTTTAGTCATAAAYTAGGTTACTGTAAGAAGTGAGAATAATCTAACACAGAACATGGCACTGCTTGAACACACCTGTCAGATCATACTCTAATGGCCTGTAGATCTAATATGTCAGTACCTCATCATTCAATCAAACTAATCTACATTGATAATTTGAGTAAGATTTAAGTGATAGTAGGCCTCCATCGGTCAGTATTGAACATGGTGATGCATTCTAGTCCTGGTTGACTGCTCGACTGGAGGAGCAGCATATCGTGTGGCTGAAGAGACCAATGCAGGAGTGACAATACTTTTTACAATAGTCACGTCAAAAGGCAGAATCTGGTCTAGTGGATGGCTTTCTTTGCTGTCCTCAAGATTTAAGTCATATTAAACACAGAAAGTCATCCACTTATTTCATATTTGTATTCATTATATTACTGATAATAATTATAATATTAGTACATGGTTTTACCAGCTTCATTTGACTTGAATGTTTCTTGTAAAGTCTTCAACTTTGTTTGTAGTTCTGTGATTTGGGTATCAAGCTGTTTGACCTTTTCCTCATCATAATCACCAAATTTATCCTACAATTCATGACATACTATTATAATAACACTAATAATGATAGCAATATTGATAAAATTATAATATTGATGATGATCTGATTATTTTAACGGTTTCTGGCTTCTTCTATTTTGTCCAARTCAGTATACTGGTGCCCTGGTTGAGTTGTTAYGGGACCTCTCTTCCTTCTTCCTCATCCAAAAATATTCAAAAATCATAGCAAAGTTTACCTGGAGAGGAGCATACACCTTTTGCTTTCCATATATCTTTTCATGTATTTTTTGTTGACTTGACAGATTTTCTAGACTTCTTTGTACTGCCTGAAACGGTTGATTTGCAAATTCAATCCAATTTCATAAATTAGCAAAACTAAATCAAAACATTTCAGGGTGCTTACTGTTTTCCCATATTCTTTGTGCAAGTTAGTGAATATATCAACTGTAAATAGATACAAATTGTGATATATAACCATACATWAACGATTTTCAAAATATTGACGAAATTCATAACAAATGATATCAAAATAAAATAAGTTCACTTTAAATTATTTCACTCTCACCTGCGCTATATGGTCTATTATTTTTGTTCAAGTACGACAAGACTGCCTCTTCAGCTTTGGATTCAAGAAAAAAATGTTTACTTCACTATTTTTATAATTTTCGTACTTTGAAATGAGAATTGCAAGCTAGCCATCTATGCTCTAGCAAATAGAAATGAGCTTTCCTTMGCGCAGTATTGTCAGTTTGAAATCAAATTACCATCAGAATCCTTCTTCTTRCTCATGACCGCATTTACGAGTCTTTATCGTCAATAAAACATCTAAGAAAATACCATTTTCCGTGCAAGAAAGCCCTTCGTTTCCAMAATAAAAACAAAATTCGCGGGAACTTGTAGTCCTCTCATGTTACTGTCACCAATTTATTACCGCTGATTTCATTGATCGCAGGCTTACAAATTTGAAATAAGTTCCCGGATTCTTCCTCTCTGTCTCTCTCTGTGGCCATTTTGGTACGAGTTTGATCATGGTGAGAAAATCCTTATATATCTTTTGAATTTGAATTCATCGCATCATTTGAGACAGATTATCAGAATTTTAAGGATATTTTTGATGTCCCTGCTTAATTTCTTCTGGTGTAGTGGCCAAGAATGAGTTTTATTATCAATTCTATTTTGATGTTTATCAGGCCAAAAGAACGAAGAAGGTTGGAGTTGTAGGCAAATACGGCACACGATATGGTGCTTCTCTGAGGAAGATGATAAAAAAGATTGAAATCACTCAGCACTCTAAATACACATGCTTTTTCTGCGGAAAAGTAAGTTGAAATTTGCGTAGGTACTCAGCTGATTTTGCCCCATATCGTATAAAAATCATTTCTAGTCGAGTTCACTGTAAAATTATTTTAAAATTATTTTTATTATTTTTTAAACCCCTGCTTGGGGTACACATTTTTTTTAATCATAAGGCATATTTCGTTTTCACGGACATATTTAAACTTCAAGTACCTTGTTATCATATCAACACAAGACCACTGCAACAGCAGTCTGTGCAATATAAATGCATGTGCAGAACACCAGATTTAAATAAGCTATTTTATGTATAAATCACTAGGAGACTCTAAAGAGAAAGTGTGTAGGCATCTGGCACTGCAAAGGATGTGGAAAAACAGTTGCTGGAGGAGCCTGGGTTGTAAGGTATGAATGTGTTCACAGATATTTCTGGTTTATAATCAATCAGACATTTGACATTCGAACACAGCTTCTGTTGATTTACTTTGAAATCAAATTCACAGCAGCACTTTGTCTGGTCATGTTTGATTGCTTAACTAGTATTTTGTTATGAAGAATGTTTTACAACCAGAGTAGAAATACTCTCCAGCATTTTCTCATAATGGCTATTTTTATCACAAACGAAGCAAGAGGTGGTGATTCCCTTGTCTCAAGTGTTTAACTAACATTAGTACTAAAGTAAACACACTTAATTCATGAAACAGAATGGTGCTAAATAGCTTATCTGCAGTCGTGCCATTTTGTGCAACAAAGCATGATGGGAGTTTTAGTCCATACACTTTTTCATGTCCTTTTAAGGCATTTTTGATTTTCCCTCACAATGAAAAAGCTGAGATATATAATAGAATGATTKGTGCTGACATAAATCATATTTTCTTTCAGCACAACTGCTGCTGCCACTGTYAGAAGTGCTGTCCGTCGTCTTAGGGATATGCAAGAAACTTARATATTCACAWTGCAATGTTGAACATATTGTATAATAAATTTGGCCTTCAACCTTCATATAGTTGTTATTGTTGATGGCTCTTTTCACTGGGTGAAATTTTGATATCTGTCAAGAAAACAAGATGGGGACTAATATTATTGACGGAGGCTAAGGAATGAATTTATAATCACCATGAGAAATCAACCACCCATGGATGATTGTGATTGTTTCATATTCTTGTTTGAATTGTTTATTTGTTGTTGTTGTTGTTTATGTTCATCTTTACAAGTTCATCTTCACAAGKCCAGCTTTTATTTTCACATTTCTTTATTAAAATTTAAATAGCAGATCTACCATTTTATTGGATGACAGAACAATAGAATTCCTTTTCATATCTCATTCATTAGACAAGTCATTGTTCATTATTTCCAAGTCCACRACTGCCAAAGTAATCTGCAATTATAACCCTATTTCTCTGTTAAGGTCTGTTTACACTTGCGAATTTTGCAGTGCGATTGTTGTGTGACAATTGCCACTTTGTTCTTGTGCACCTCAAATCGTAAGTGTAAACAGCCCTGTGATTATTGCGGCGATCGAAAATCGCTGCAAGATGCCGTTAAATTTCAAGCATGTTTGAAACTCAGGCGATTGTTGCATGACGATTGCGCTGCAAAAATCGCAAGTGTAAACAAGGGTTTCATGGGCTTTTGTCTGCCCGCCCTCCCCTATACATTTTAAAGAAACACTTCAGAACTCCTTCCCAAACGCATTATAAATGAAAGCCCACTTAGAATGGATATAAACAGTGTTAGTTTCAAGGAGTAAGCCTATACATTACCGAACATAATTTATACAGTGTTTATATCATGCAATAGAAATACACCCATAACTAATAATGTGCTAACCAGTGTGGAATGTGTGSAATGTTTAGTAATGTTGGCCTACTCCACCCTGGCATCCTGCTTTCCCAGATAAGAATGCCTAGTACTTCAAGAGAGAAGAAAACTAACCTGAAGATGTACAYGTTTRGTTTAAATGTAGGAAAATCTCTTAGAAACAAGGGTAACACTCCTTATTAGTTGGTAATTGCACTGCTTCCTATTATGCATACAGTAATTTAACCATAATATATTATATATTATTTGTGAGTTTACTATTTCAGTTTCTTCAATTTAGCCTTTCATACTGATTTCAAGTGATTTAAGACCTTCAGTGACATAATAGAGTAAATTCACAAAACTAGTATAATTATAGTAAAATTGGAAATTATGATTAAAAGCGATTGTTGCCTTTACGTGRATAATAAAAGAATAAATATGCACTTTTCGTAAATATGTGGTGCAAGACTTGTCATGAATATTACTGGAAATTGTGTGAAATTGCAATATACAAGGGATGTCTTGATCCATATTGCCACCAGAAAATCTGCACATATCAACAGAAGGCCATCATGTTATTGTAATCTGAATTTACACTACTTACACACAAGATAGCAAATAGAGGGACAGCATTAATGTTRGAGTACAAACACTAAAACTGTGCAACATAAATACCACTAAATACTGCTAAATACTGCTAATTCTTTTGTTTTCTATTGTTTAATTAGAACTATAATAGTTAATTTTGCAGTAAATAGTGGAAAGCGTTGCACTGAGAAGTATTTGTACTCTAGTTGAGATCACTCTAGATGAACATACATATGTTAAAATGTTATAATCTAAAGATGTTACCCATAGCAACAATCATGGCATGCATGGCATGCCTTTAGATTATTATTATGTGTAGTTACAATCCCAACCACTTTCCCATACTACCYAGTGATCCACTACTCCCAGGTCTTTCATYRTTCAATGATGGATCCATGTCATCAATCTCGGATTTATCCAGTAGTTCAAAATCTGATCCATCTGCAGAATTTGACTGCTGGAKTTCACKTGAAGTTTCTTTTGATTTRTGCCCTTTTTTATTAGGTTTCTGTGAAATTGATTGTTGTTTATTTGGTTTCTTTTCACTAGCATGTAAAGATTCATTTGAGCTGTGATAGTCTTTGTCGTCAATGTCTGGAAACTCCAGACCTTGTGCAAAATCATCRTCATCATTGAACTCCCAGTGATCTGTAGTGTTAGACATTGATGGTAGTTCCTGACTATCAGGCAAGAAAGAAGATGAACTRTTGAAACTCAAAGATGACCCTCCTGGTGTTTCAAGATCTGGAAAAAAAWYYCYMAAWTWWTYMAATTAATATTTTTATATTGTGACTAWTGTAATACAAAACAAAGCGACTGAACTGAGGACACTCTGAAAACTRTTTCTGGTTGGGAGGAAACAGGTAAAATGTCTTACCTGAGGGAACATTTTCGCTTGATTCTGGTAAGTCCAACCGCATCGCATCTTGAGAYGATGCTGAAGACCAGTCTTCTTGATCTGGAGGTGGTAGGTGTTCTTCAGTTAAATCRATTAATAACTCTGAWGATGAATCACTTTGTATAGTTGGAAAAAGTGGTTGTTSTTCTTCTTCTTTTACAATTCTTTCTTGAAAATTGTTTTCATCCCCTCTTTGTGCTTGTGGATTGTATTCTTTGGTGAACTCTTCTTCACTGTCTTCTTCATCAATAACTCCTTTTTGTGCTTCAAAACAAAGACCAAAAGATTATGTACCTAACTGTCTATCTTGGCTTGAAAGTGCCAGAAAACATAGCAAGTGGTAGTGTTGTATAGACCTTTTAAAATTTAAAATTATATACCTTTTAAAATTTGCTCCCGTTGCCGTTTGGTTCTACTGTGTCTCCAGTGTGTGATAAATGGTTGAAAAAAAGGCTCAACAACACCAATGATGACCCTGTGAGTTCCATGATACTTGGCAGGTGTCCATAAATACAGAAATACAACTATAAACAAAGATATTACAGTATATTTATATAYTAGCTGATTGTCAATCAAGTTATGATGAATAACTGCCAAATATTTCTCAGGAATGAACAGTGGAATAATTATTGATTTATYAACTGATACTTACATATGCAGTAAAAGAGTTTAAGCCAAGGTATGTACTGGTAAGCAAATGCTGCCGCAATGAAGATGGCAACTAAGACTGCATAATACTGAAACAAATAATATGTATTTTAAGTTATAAATCCTTAATTTATGATAAGCAATCTTCACTTTGACTTAATTTGAAAATGAGATACTGGCAGTCTTTGCAGTGTGACTGCTGAGCCTGATCCATCTGCAGGTAGTAAGTATATYCTTATTAGGTTTGAAGGGTGCCTAGAAGTGACCTATACCCTGGTTGGTATTGTTACCTCTGACTAGAATGTTTAGGCACACCCCTAGCATTCACCCCAAACGTATCACTAGATGAGATCTATGTACCTTCTGATGACTCTGCTGCTTAATTCTCTGAAGTTTTTCAAGATTACGTTCTGCAAATCCCCATATCAGAGCTATTTTATAGCAAAATCGTTGGAAGATCAAACTTGCTTCATAGCTTAAAAGGGAAAAAATAGTACGCAAATAAGAATAAATATTGCATTTATTTATTTATCTATAGCTTGTTTACTTAATAATTCAGGGCAGTATGGTTTTTACATCCATACTATACCTTTCTCTCTCCTCTGGGGTGATTCCAGCTGAAACAAGAAAGCGAAAATGTTGAACTGAGTATGAACGACGTGCAACAGTCAGCATTGCTTTCATTCTAACCTCGTTCCAGAACTCCAGCGACTTTACTCCTAATATCTTCAACGCAAAKACTCAGTCCGATTATAACACTACAGACAAGGAACAGTCGGAAGTTTCCCGTTGCAAAGTAGCTGCAACAAAAACAATAGTTAAATGTTTATATATAAAGAACATCTGTCGATTTTTTACTGTACAGATTTGATTACCAGAAAGTTCCGTTGACAACAACAAACACCACAAGCGAATAAACAGGCTTTTTCCAGAGTAATACGTCTCTGATTAGATCCCAGTGGGGTTCAAGAGGTTTAAAGAAACTTTCAACTTGGTGTTGATGTGGATCAGGGTATCGTAGATATTCTTCGTCGATGAAGTTTCGGTCTGTTTCTTCGCTTCTTTCTATACTAGCCATGTTGTTTTGGTGTGAGATTAGCTAGGAAGGGTTCGTACTACGTCATTGAAATCAGCACTTTGCTCCAGTCCCCGCTCAATATCAAGTAGCACATGGATACCATTTTACAATAGCTCTGTAATAATGCGTACTTTTAAGGGTTCTCAAGAAATGATGTATTTTTTAACATAATAATTTTTTCAGATAGATTGAGTATTATTGCATTTTTAGCTCAAATCGTTGGCACTCATTTACAAACCAATGTTTCATCAGTTTGTTACTGACTCGAATATTAAAGCTGCAATTTGGCACCTTGAAAAAATAGCTTCAAAAATCCTCATATAGATCGCATTCTTACTCGTCATTTCATGCAACGACAAAAAAAAATTCACACTTGAAAAAAATTCACACCTTGGTCTGAACGGAAGTTGGTATGGCAAACTATTTCCGGTAAATTGTAGCGCGCTACGCACGTTGGGACTGTCTCTTGGGACAAGAAGTTGTCCTAGCACGTTGAGATTATTGGTAAGAGTATTCAATAATATATTTTTTGTCTTTGTTCATTTAGCTGCAACGAGTTATAGCACAATATAGGGATTAGTGGTCTGTTGAACTGGTAACGACTTTTGCTGAAAACAAACTCGAGCAATGAACGGTCATAATAACAGCAGTGATTAGAGTCGGCATTTTCTCCACCAAAATTTGCAGGGGTCCTCTTAAAATTATTATCTCCTGCTTCGAAATGAGCCTTCCAAATAATGCCAAGCGYAAAGGCCGTGAGCTCAAAGCYATAAAGGATTTCACTGCAGCCGATGTTTGCTTTAACGATGGTGCTAAACCGTTGTCTTTTCAGTTAGGAGACGTTTTCACATTGCTGGGTTACCGCGACAAACACTGGGCCAATGTCGAGAGAATTGTTTGCAATAATAATTCAGTTTTACTGATAGAAACCTATCCACCAACTGAAAGAGGGATTGTGCCGAGAGACTATGTTCTAGAGATGGAACCGGGTGGTTTAGACGATTCTTCTGGTAATCAAGATCAGAATGGATCAGATAAAGATAGTCTGYCAGAGTGTCAAGACGACGAAGCCATGAAGGTACGTTCGACTTGATTGAATRTGTTTAAGCTTAAATTATCTTACTGCTAGAAGTGTGCCACTTGAAATTCCTGTTAGGCAAACGTGTGATATTGTCTTGGATATTTTTAAAAGGTTTTAAAGGGTAAGATAATATAATATGAATGGAATTCCAAAACAGCTCATTTGATCCCAAACATTTGGTTTATCACGAACTTTTAGAAGTTATCACAACAAAGGGTATTGTTTTAAACATTGTCTAAACACTCGGGCGTACCATTTGTTTATGATGTTCAACAGCAAACATGGCTAGCACTTGTTACTTGATGTTAAACGATCGCGATCTACATTTTCTGTACAACACCACCGTAAATATTGATTACACAAAACATGGCATTAGTTGACAAGCAATCGTAGTTGCTACAGCKAAACTCATGGTCAAAATGATGGCGAATGGTGGTTCTCTCGAATAAGTCTGATCTGAAAATGAATTACGCTCATTAACTGAAAACTTTTTCAATAACTTTACAACGTTATTTGAAATAATGTTATTTACAAGATATTTTCCTTTACACAATAATGTTTTTCAAAAATAATTGAAATGTGAAGAGGCCCTTATGTGGCACGAGGCATAAAGCTTAAAGAAAAAAGATTGTTTAAATATGTAAAAAAAAAAATCGCTGACCAKTTTTCATTTGCACTGAATTTTTCATGTGTATTTATATTTGTTTACATCTGTAAAGCAATATTTTATGTTTTTAGCAGGTAATTCCTTTACCATTTACTAGTATATTTAAGAAATGTCTGGCTCAGTGCTTTGATAATAAACATGGTGGGAAACTGGGGGCAGAAATAATCTAAGAAATTRTCACCAAATCTTGCATTTCTCTTCTTTCTCAAGTACTTGATCATTATCTTTCACTGTATTCATGTCACAAGACCCAAAGAGATCCCATTAAAAAAAGTTTTTTTATGAATATAAAATGAAAAATATTCTCTATACACTGATATAGTGTCATCAGACAAGCTTACGATCTTTTAAGTTGACCACTTATGATTGTCTAAATGCACATATATTATTTCAATGATATTGCAGTAATAAAAGAAGTTTTATTTGTCCAATTTTTAGGCTGTATTTGAGAAAGAAGACCTAGTACGGCAACTTGAAGCTACAAAGAAAAGATTATATGAGGCCCAAAAAGAGAATCATGCATTGAAAGATAGGTAGGCGTTGACATATGTGAATAAGACATACATCTTTATTAGTGCTATTACCAGTAATTGAAACAAGCATGGCCCTTTTCAGGATTTCATTCTATATTAGCCGCAGAGCTCTGGCCATTGTGGAGTTGAGGCAATTTTTGACTTCCTGTCAAATCTCTCATCTTTAAATTAAATTTGAACAAGAAGGGTAGATTCACTCTTGGCGTAATGATAAAAATGTCATTAAAGTTCATTTTAGTCTTTGCTTATACATGTAGGTAAAAAGAGAAATATTATTGTGTCTAGCCTTGTCATTAGGCTGCTCAAATCAGACCATTTTTACATGTGATTAATAGTGGTATTTCAATTTATTAAAAAAATCCTTATCTCATGGTGATTTCTTGAAGCAATAAAATTCCAAGAATTTGAAAATCTTAGCCTTAGAGCACAAAGTCAAATTCATCAAATTTTTCAAGAAAGCTATTAGTAGGAGAGCCASATGCAGACATTGTTGAATATGCATGTAAATAATATAAATGAATTTACCAAGAATGTGTTTTTCTTACTATTATCTTAAGTTTAAACATATAAAAATATCCATTTRTAATATCTATATAAATTATTAGTAACTAAGTTTACTTCATCTTTTTATCTCCAGACATTGTCTTTACTGAGTAGCCAGATGTTGACTTTCACACGGAAGTTCTCTCTATCTCTGTTAGTTGTCCCTAATCACCTCCTTCTTAATTTTCAAGGTCAAAGAAAGAGTTTGGCAAAAATGTGCAGCTCTTGCATCAGCTTTTGCAGCAGTAAGACCATCTCATTTTGAACAATGTTTTGATGCATACGTGAAGTAATCGAGACTAACATGCAGTCGCAAAGACATTTAACATTTAATTTTGACCACATTGTTCATAAAAGATAATTTATGAAATGATTTTTGATCAATGCGTTGTTGAAATAGTATTGTGGTAAAAACTAATATGAAGTCTAAAGGCTTTTAATCATTTAATTTTGATCTCATTTTTCATAGAACAGACAACTAATATTTTCTTTGAATTTAACTGAAGTTATGGGATTGGTCCTGGATGTTTCAATTTATAATTATTACTTTTCAGTTTATTAGTTTTATACAAAGATGCTRCGTACTGCAGCATTCATAATATTTGTACATAACAAATTAAAATACAGAAAAGTGCTCTTTTTTTCAAGAGCTCTCTGTCTGATACAGCATGCTTCCACTTGTGTTAGAGTTTTTAATTTTTGAAGTAGCCTTATTAAASTAGGCAGCTGTTTTTGTTGAGAAGACTGCAATTTTTACATTGAAATATCAGAATGTCAACAGCAAAATTAGAGAAGTAGGYGGTAAAATTTTCTTATAAAAATGCTGTAATGTACAAGGGAAGAAAAGATAGAGTTTGTTTTGAACCCCCAACACCTGAACTGCCAAGGAGAATATATGAATTACAAAGTGGAGTTTGAACTGCATAAAAATATGTGAATAACCAAGCTGATAATGTAACTATTGTAACACAATGCTTGCTATCTCTTTATTTTATATATTTAATTCGGTATTTGCTTTATATAATCGATCTATTATATCTCAGATAATTTATTCAGCATATATTTTGTCATTATTTATTTACATCATCAGTTATTCCTTATAGTACTTTGATATCTTTAATAATTACATTATTTCATAAAATTTAATGTTTTGTTAATGGGACTCTACTAACAGAGAGGAGAGAACATAAGTACCATGTACGTTGACTGCCATTTTGATTGTCATTTTTCATTTCCCAATACCATCACTCCTATTCTCGGTCTTCCTCTCTGTTTCATGAGCTCCCATTTTTTACTTCATTACCCCCTAAAATATTATGTCCTTTATTTGACAGAATTGTTGTTTGTATTCTCTTTTTTTTTTTCATTTTTAAACTGTTTTATAAGAAAGAAATTAAAGTATAATGAAATGCTATTTTTCAGGTACTATGCAGCAAGTGAAGTGCTTATTGCAACAAAGGAAGAACTGTCCATTGCACAGAAGTCCATCATAAGTGTAAATTTATTATGATATATTATTAATTTATAGACATCTTATGTTAGTATATTAAGCATAATGTCTGCCTAAAAATGTGTCTTGGATTTATGTCATCTTCGACTGTTCCTATTGCAAGGACTAATTTTTTTTTCTGAAGTCTTAAAAGTGAGAGAGGTGTATTGTTTTTGTAATTGAATCATGTTTCTCATAGCATCAAGAAATGAATAAGAAGTACTTGGATGTAATTGAAGAAATTAAAAATCAAATCCACAAGTCAGGGAATAAATCAGCAGTATGTGTTAAATGAAATAGAAATAATAGAGAGTTATAATAATGTGGWAAGGAGGTTATTCGAGGCAAAAGGCATTAGAAGTAAACATCTATCTCTCTCCTTCCCAAGCAATATAACTTTCTGTTACTTTTATTTTATGTATTTCCTTTTCCCAAAGCTGGCCAAATATCCATATCAGCAGTGTATGTATGACATACTTWATTTGTGATTGACAGATAAAATTAGTGGACAAAATTCTTGCAAAAGAAGCAAAGCAGCCTAATGGTGTTATTTTGCCAGGAAAGGTTAGTTGCTCATGGGCTAAATACATTTTAGAATTTTTTGTACCTTTTAGAATTTGTTTTGTAAGGTGTATTTTTTGTTGTTTTTTTTTTTTTCATTTTCTTTTTCTTCCTTCCCATATGAAGAAAACTCAGTCTGATCTTCTTTTTGCTTGTATACTTCAGGAAAGAGCAAAAAGTATTGGAGAAGATGATTTGATGCTTTCATGCACCCTTTGCTCTGAAAAGATCAGGTGAAATTTGAAGAATTTATGTTTCAGTGTTTCATTTTGATAACAATATTCTCAAGACATGGTCTCAGTTTCTGACCATGAGCTAAACATTGAAGCACAGTGTTAAGGCACACTATATGAGTGTAGATCTTTTATTTTATGCTAGTATGCTTCAGCATCTTGGTTCAATGTATTGTGTATTGTTTGTGGTTGCTGAAATGGTCTGGAAAATAACACTCTAATGTTGTTTTTCTTTGTGTTTTTTTTTTCAGAGTTAGTGAATTGGCAAGTCATTCAAAGATATGTTCAGCGCAAGACAAAGGCCATGAAAAGCCCAAAYTAACAAAACAGTGAGTGCCATACATGTTGTGACTAACCTTAAAGAATATATGAAAAGCTTTTACATGTTTAATTCCATTGATGTTTTGTTCAYAGACCCAGTACACCTACACCATCAACAGAAATGCTGAGAGTGAATGTCACTTATTCAGAAACGGATCAAAARAATGCAACATTTAAAGTTGTTACTAAGGTAATTGTGTTTCACGTACTTTATATATGAAATTGCCCTTTTTGCGTAACCTTGACTATTTACCATTTATGTTTTTACCAYATTAACAAGTTAAATAAACTCCCAAGAGAATCATTCAATGTTCAGAAGTTGGATAACAATCATCAAATGTTATTGTGAGTCATCTCTAATCTAAGTGTTTAATGTTTTTAGACCACTCTGCCAAACTATCAGTTTCCTCTTTATGAAGTACATAGAAGTGAAGCACATTTTGAATGGGTGCARGAAGCATTACAAGAAGMACTGCCAGAGAGAATAGTGCCACCATTAATAAAACATACTTCTTTGAATGGTAAAGCACCATGCTTGTCTTGCTCCAAATATYTTGCTCACATTCATGATTTATATTTGTGTCAATTCTTACAACATGAGCCATTGAAATGGTTTAATCTTAGTCAATCTCTGTCAATCTTCATAGATAGTAGAAAATATGTCATAGTATGATACATGAAAAAATAGGAAACCAGGGTTGATTCAACATGAATGCAAGTTTTGAAGTATTGTTTATCCCACATGTAAAAACAGCAAATAGAAGCTGTAGAAGGTAGTCCGTGAGGMAGCCTTTTGTCAGGCTTGACGTCTCTTTTGGGAGGGACAGGAAGCCTGACTTAGGGAGGCTTCCTTGGCAGTTCACAAATCTAGTGAAGAATGTCTATAGAATTAAAGATAACAGTCTGAGATTATGCTAGACTCACATTTGTTTGATACATGTTATATAATTTAATTGATACTGATGAACAAAATATCAGCATTACAAGGTCCAGCATTTGACAACCCAGATTAGACTAGTAATTGATGAAGTTTGATTTATTATCATTAGGAAAGACAAGAGAATTACAAAGATTTTTATCAAGAATTTGTTCTCACAAGGTACTAAATAAATTGGATAGTTGTCATTGACAACTGTGTTTGCTGTTTCATTTGTCTACAATGTGCTTTGTAAGTTATTCACCTGAAAAAACTGTCTTTGTGTAGGTTTTAAGGAAAGATGGATTACTACATTTATTTTTAACTGGATTCAATGAGGTACATCTATTTTTTTATCTTTTAACAGTGTTTTAGTTTGTGGATAACGTTTCCGTTTTATAGGAGTTAGAAGCAGCTAGAGCAACACTTGACAGAAGAAAAAGCACCTCTGACAACACAGAGACCGTAACTGAAAAACAAATCTATGATGAGAATGCACCAGTAGTTAAATGCAAGGTAGTTAATAAGTTTGCCATTTTTTATCTTTCTGTCCTTCATTTTTCTTTTTTTTTTTTTTGCTTTATCCCTCCATCTCTCCCTTAATTCGATATTTTTACTTTCACTTCTCATTTTAATTTCTAAAATGCCTTTTCCAATTCTTTTTTTTTTTTCATTTGTATATTTTCCTCTCTTATTCATTCCTGTTTGCTTTCTTTATTTTAATTTCTTCTCTTTGTTTTATTCCAACGTTTTTTCAGAAATACATGGAATCACTTCATCGACATCTACATGAGCTCATCAATAATCTCCAAAATACTTTTGAAGATAAATCAACAGGTAAAAATAMTTTTTACAGTAGCATTATATGTTTAAGAAATATATAACAGTGCATGTGTCTCTGTCCTCTGATATAATCATGGTAGGAGTTGAAAAGCATGAGAGAAGCAAGHTTAGAAACACAAGTGTAGCGTGTGTGTCTTGCTTCTCTAGTGCTTTTCAACTCCAACTGTGCTTATATCAGAAGGCAGAGACACAAGCTGCCTTTTTATATTTTAAAAAACCTCTCAAACCCAAGCCTTTTGGTTCACTCAAGTGACAAGCATTTTATATTCCTTACTATTATTGCTAACCATGGACTTGGACAATGGATCTTGATTTAATTGCAACATTGAATCATTTCTCTGGACAAACAGACTGTTGACAATGTTACAAACTAATTTATACACTTTAGGTCTTGGTATTTGGTTTAAACTGTTATCAGAGGGGGAACCCACAGACACCTACCTCAAGGTAATGTAAATAGCCATAAATCCAGGGTTTTTTATATATACACCTACTTGCGAAAACGTTGTCATAAAAAAATAGGACATTGTATTTTAGTAAAAAGGAATAAATTAAAAACACAAAGGAAGATCACTGAGGCTGAACGCTCTCTTTTGTCTTGTTTTAATTTATTCCTTTTTACTAAATTTCTATGACAACGTTTCTGCAAGTATGTACTGTATAATTATAGTATCTATTTAATAGATACTCATATCTATGAAATTCTTAATAAACTGATTGTGTGAGAGTTAATTGTATATACATTCAATATTTTATGGAGAACTTTCATGTCCTTTCTGAATAAATTTACCAACAGCAGAAATCAATTAAACTTTGGTGCTACATTAGTGACTTTTAGTCATGCAGTCTCCAATCTCTTAGAGAGCCTCCTTTCAATATTTAGATAGTAGTATAAAATTAGTAAAGTGATCACCATATTGTTATTGATRTTACAGTCAGCTTGTGCAGGCCTGAGTAAAATATGCTATGAACTTGACAACCACAGGGTAAGAAACTTTCTTGTTCATAACTTATCAATTCTTTGTGTCTTTATTTTTTTGTTTGTCCATTTTGACATCTTTGTCTCCTTCTTCTCTCTGTGTCTGCTTTGTATCATTTTACCTTCAAATCTTTGCGAGTGGTCATTAATCAGAAAGTCAAAAGTGTGCTATTACAAGCCAAAATTTGATTATTATTTTTGCTGCATAAGCTAATTAGATGTTTTAATCCAAAAGGAACCAGAGGAAAACCTAATTGTCAGTGATCTTCGAAGTATTGCAGAGTACATCAAATGTGCTGAGGTATGTTGTGTTCATGGATGTTGTTCATATCAAATATGTTATTTCATGTATAAACAATTATTATCATTCTGTTGATTTTCATTCTGTTTTTTCTGTGACGGTGATAGATTGTCTGTGTAGGTGATAATTTGTCTGTGCAAGTGAGTGGAAGAAAGGGAAAGAAGGTCAATGAGAATATTTTATTTTGTTTTTCAGAATCTTCTAGTCAGAGTTGAAAAAGCTGTAGATAACTTTTTGCATTGGGATGCTGAAATAAGGACTTGTGAACAAATGACGGTATGTACATTCAAATCATTCACAAACCTGGTGACTTTGTTGCCTTAAAGCTATTTTATTTATAGACCCACACACAATCTTGAGGCTTGCTCTGGCATGTATGATACAACTTTTTCATGCTTCTAGCAATATTGTATTATTAGGTACCTCAGTGTTATTGTAAACTAGCTGCCTGCAATACCACATCCTTCAACTTKTAAAACTGCCACCTCCTTTCAGGCTCACTGAGGAATAACAATTACCACTATATTGTCTTTTGAAATCTTCAGAATCCTAAAGGAAACAGCACAGAAGAAAGTCAAAGTTTAACTCAGCGATGGGCTGTGGTATGSATATGGGATTATAGTTTTATACACAATTTAGTTACAAAACTTATGATAACATGTTTGCTTTTTATTTTAGGCAAACTCCAATTGTGCAGAAGCGAAATCATACTTGGAACAACTATGTCAAGATTTGACCAGTGAACTGTCCCACTTTGATTTACGAAAAGAATCTGAACTAAGAGATGTTTTGATTGAGTATTCTACCCTTAAATCAGAACATTTTGAAAAGGTTTGTAGTGATTTTGTAATATATAAATAAGAGATGTTCTAACAGTCAATGAATGTAACTTAGCTGTGGTAATGGTGGCTTTAAGTTTGCTCATCTTTTGCCACTATGATCACAATTTATTTCCCAGGTGACKTGCTATTTTTAAACTGTATTTCTTCTACTACTAGGTTCAAAGCAAGTGGTTTGGGGTCAAGTTCATGGTAGAAGCACCAATTTCATCAGATGTTAGAGCAGTCAAATGTATTGAAGACTTGTCATCAAGTAATTGATGGTTAAATGAATATATGGGAGGTTTATCATTCTAGACTACATAAWATAATATAGTAATCTACTAGAAATCTTCTTATCTGGAACTTTATCAATTGAAAACGAGTCTTAATGAAAATTTTATTCACAAACATTAGTATTAGTATAAGAGATAGTGGAGTGTTTATTGGATGCACTAAATCCTTCAAAGAAATATTATGAATTACTACAAATAGTGTTGATGCAGACAAAAGAACCAAAAGAATTAGTATTATTTAGTAMCTATTTTGTACTATTTTTGCTTAAACTGATTAAGTGGGTTCACTCTATAGCAGTATATTTCATAATAATTATTAGAATATTTTGATAATTTAATGATAGTCACACAGCAGTGCAAATGATGCGTGGTAGTGTATTTTGAAGATTATTGAAGTGTATTTGGCATTAGTTTGCACTGAATAGAAATTACATCTGATGGTCCATGAAGATGTATTTGGACAAATGGTCTAGTACTGGTAGTCCACCAAATCCAGTGGTCTACTAAAATTATTTTAGCATCCACCAAACTATTCATTCCAACAAATTTGAAATACGAGCAAAAATCAAATTTTCCCAACTTTTTCACTTATTTCTTTATGCGGCCATAGGCAAACTTGAATAGACCATAGTACAACAGCCAATCAGAAAACTTTATATTAAATGATAGTCCATAGTTTGAAGGATGCTGATGGTTTTTACCTCTTAGTTCTTAGTTAATTACTCTCCTAACTAGCTTGCGCTAATCCTAGAAGGTTCACTCTTATTCTAATCCTAGAAGGCTCACTCTTATTCTATAAAATAATATACTGTATATTGTTTCATTGCTCCCTTGAATTCCTTGGTTGTTTCAAGAAGAATTTTTTAAAACAATTTATAATAATCATTAATACTGGCTATAATGATTTTACATGTATTATAAATGATCTTTTATTCAAATTGAAAATTACAAAGTATGATAGAATTATAGTTATTAGTAATGCCATTTTGAATGATGGTACATTTTCGGCACAATTTCAGTTSGGTGGTGAACATTTTGTTGCACTACACACAAATTTATATTCGAGATTTTGCCAAACAAAGGCACTTGAGATATGCTGCCACAACATTTTGCTGATAATTTTATTGGATTTTTGATAAAATAGAGCTTGTTCTTAATCTAGTCTATCAATAAGCTAAATATTAGATAAGTTTATATCATCAATTGTGAATGGGCTTTTAATAATAATAATTAYAATTATAATTAACAATTAATTAACAATGACAATAATAATATTTGAATTATTAGTGTCATGATATCATTTATAAATATAATATATTCAGATTTGAATCCAAGGGTTAATAATGTAAGTATAATATCACAAAATCATTATACAGGAATAAGTATCCTTTTGTTTGTAACACACTACCATATATCATTGTAATTTACCCCCTCCCCCATTAATCAAATTTTGTATCAAAGTATAAAAGAGAATATTAACAGGAATTTCAAATAAATGTTTTTAATATAAATTAAAATGCTTCCAAATGCTTATTCTTGACTGTACAAAATTCAATKCAAATAGTATATGATATCTGTATTAGAGAATGGTACTTTTTAAACCCTAAAAATGTTGCATTGCAAGTTTTGCTTTTGATCTTGGTTTTCTCCACCTTCAACATAGTCTCTTCTAACAGTCATGACTTCCAGTTTCGTCAAATGTAGGTAATAAGGCCTTCAATCCATGACGAACGGTCCCGATGGAACGATTGGTGAATTTGTTTTTCCCTCCCCGAAAAAAATGTTGCACCTGGGCAAACAACCATTGCTTTCGGGGAGGAAATTTGACGAAACCAGAAGTCATGGCTGTTATTCGAAGGGACAGTACCTTCAAAAGGGGTAATATCAAAATGTAAATCCTTGCTAAAATGTTCATGTTGGTGCTGTTATGTATTGCATCACTCCTGAGTTATTAAGCTGCTCCAATGCTATGTTTTCCCAGTTTGCATTAGCTGCTGGGTTAGCAGGGCTTGGGTGCATCAGTCCACTTATCTGAATATTTGAATCTTTAAAAACTTTCTTACAACGAGACTCCACAAACTTCCCAAGGCATACAAGAACATCAACATCTAATAACTTGACTAYGGCTTGTAGCACATCATCACAAAATATAAATAGGGCTTTTCTCTGACTCAATGGAATATTATTTGGAGTAATGTTTTTGCCACTTTCACTCATGAAGACTAAAGGACAATAATTATACACAAAGCAGTTTAAGAAGAAATTTTCTGGAGTCTTGGAGTGTTTTTGGAAAAATCCCCAAAATCTTGCTCCGCTGACCTCTTTTCTAGTGCAGTCCCACCCTAGAATGGGTCTTTTGGGGTGTTCRTTGGGTGGTTTATGAATATCTCCACTTATTTGCAACCATTCTTTCACACATTGATGGTCACCAAATGGCACCTACAGTGATCAGTATAGCAAATATAAGGTGTCAGTAATAAAATACATAAGCTGGAGTTTAATACAAATGCAGGTTTATTTATACAGGAACTTCCATTTCGTCAACTTTCAAGCTGTTTCCAGACTGTCCTTTGGACCTGTTCCCTCCAAACTAACTATACCTAACTAATGCTGAAGATTTTATGCAAATTCTACTTGGGCAGTATTTTGTATGATCAGAATCCCATAAYTGCTWTAGGATTCTGGTATAATCTGTAAAMGAGATTAATATATGCCTATTTTATACAGCCCATAGAGTTCAGGCAAGTGACAGCTTGACAATGACAACATATCATCCTCCTCGAGACCCTAGTCATGTAGTGCATTACTGAAGGAAACAACAGCTGTTCTTTAAACAKCAATGAYAATTCTTACCCCGTTTTGTGCCATTCCAAACGGTCCAGGATTCATYCCRACAAATAAAACTTTCTKTTTTGACTGGCAATATTTYTGCACAAAATCACGATGTGGCTCGCGTGCATATTCAAGCGGGTTGTAAACGTGGGTCACAGGTTCTTCAAAACTGAGAGAAGAAACGTCACTGCCCAACTGCGACTCGATTTCTAGAAATTTGTCCGAAATGTTACCATTACAAGCCGCCATGTTTTCATTTCGGCTCATTTAAAAAATGTCAACTAGGGAGGGTACCTAGCCTCCTCCGCAGGCATCACTAAGAATCACGGGCTTCCTGTCTTTTTGATGAGTCAAAAGAGGGAGAATGCTATCTCGTCACTAGTCCCTAACGGCCAAAATGACCGTTACAAAGGAAGCCCAAAGGAGGAAAAAAGAGTTGCCTGTGGAGGAGGCTAGGAGGGTACCATGGGATAGATATTGTTTGTAGTGATACGGTATATACATTTTCTGAGTCAAACAGCTGTATTTGATACAAGTGAGTCATGTTAATTGGACTATAGATCTATTATAGATTATGTTTTGTTTTTACGCCATTTTCTTTGCATTCCATCGACTCTTGTTTTATCTCCCTAGAGGATTCCTCCTTCGTAGACAGCCAATCACAAGGCGCGCATTCGAAGTTTTAGACCCACGCATCCACGTGACCAGAAGGCCATCTCGGTGTCGYTTTTGATTGTAACTTTGTTCTTTTGGCGTCGTTGCAAAAATGTCGGAGAGYGAGAAACTAAGAAAGATTTTTATCGGTGGTTTGAACTGGGAGACAGAGGAGGAAGGCCTCAAGGACTACTTCTCGCAATGGGGAACAATTGTAGACTGTGTAATTATGAAGAAAGACGGTAAATCCCGAGGGTTTGGCTTTGTCACATACTCTTCGCCACAAAGCGTGGACGACGTTTTGAAGGTTCGAGGTCATGTTTTGGATGGACGAGACATTGAGCCAAAGCGTTCAGTTCCTAAAGATGAAGCTAAAAACCCCATGGCTTTGACCAAGACTCGAAAAATCTTCGTCGGGGGTTTAGCGAGTACMACGACCGAAGATGACATCAGAGATTACTTCACAGAGGTCTGCAAGAAGGCCGGTGTAGGGCAAGTCATAGATGTAGATTTAAAGAAAGACAGAGAGAACAGCAATCGCATTAGAGGRTTCGCTTTTGTCACCTTTGACGATGAAGAAATTGCAGAGAAAGTCTGTTCCATGAAGTACCATGAGATTCGAATGAAGCAGTGTGAAGTAAAGAAAGCAGAACCTCAATCTATGTTGAGGAAGAAACACGAGGAAGAATATGGCAGTGACAGAGATAGAAGGGACAGAGACAGGGATAGAGATAGGGACTCGCGAGACAGGGGAGACAGAGACAGAGGTAGAAACAGTCTCACTTCTGCTATATCATTAGCCACTCCGTACTGAACTGTTGAAATTTTCTTGCTAAGTTCATACCAGTGTTTTTTTTTGTTTTTTTTTTTGTAGCGTGTTTGATTCAGTCCAATTGTAATTGTGAAAACGAATTGCATTGCAGAAACACGGTTGGGGGTCTCAAAACGTTTTTGAGCATGTTACATTAGTACTAGTACTGTTGCATGATAGTGTGCAGTGAATGGCATTTTCTGGTTGTCTAACTGCAGGTTTTGGTCCCTGGGGTCCTGGGATGTTTGGGATGGCTGGATTTTTTGGCGGTAGAGAGAGCAAAGGTAATTACATTGCTCGTAAAATCAAATTGATACAGTATAAACATTTCTATATACAGTGAAAAGTTCAGTAGCTACACTGCTAAGCTTCACTGATCTTTTAGAATGGACATATTTTGGAATCATTTTAAATGTTAGAATTTTAAGCTTCAATCCTGCTTTGTTTGGGGTCCGAGTTCATTCAGCAAAAAATATTCTTTTTATGTTCTATAGATCATAAATTTTTATCCATTTTTACAGACAGAGATCGAGATCGAAGGGACAGAGATCGAGACAGAGACCGTGGAAGAGATAGCGACATGAGCAGTTACTTTCCTTTTGGCTTCAATCCYGCAGCATTTGGTCCAGGWGGCTTTGGTCCAGGTTTTGGTTTTGGAGGGATGGGCTTTAGTGGGTTTGGGCCAGGTTTTGGATATGGTGGTTTTCCTGGTGGATTTGGTCCAATGAGTGCATTTAGTGGGTTTGGTGGTGGTAGTGAAAGAGGAGGTAGCAGTTATGATAAAGGAGGTTATAGTGGTAGTGGTAGTTATGCTAGTAATAGTGACCGGGATTCTGGGAAATCTCATTCCCCTGTGACCGGTGGATCGACTGCAGTCAGTGGGMGAAGCAACTATGACTCACCATCTAGTGGTGGGTATGGATACCCATTTGCAGGYATGGGTGCTGGAATGGGTGCTAGCCCAGCTGACTGGAGTAATTTCCAGGCAATGATGAGTAGCTATGGTTATGGTGGTGGTGGTGGTAGTGATAGCCAGGGACAGGGTTCTGTTGATGCACCYTCCAAGAGTTACACTAGTGCAGGCGATGCAGGTTTTCCTCTCAGTAACTACAACCAGATTCAATCATCATATGGACCTATGGGAAGAGGCGCAACTAGGGGATCCTCGGATGTGAAGTCTGATCGTGGTTACCGCCCTTACTAGATATTACTACTGGTAAGTAACAAGTTCTTCTTGTGAGATATTTTGGCCTTTTCTTCCGCCCTATGTATAAAACTTTTTTGAGTTATGAGATTGTTTTCAGGATTTTATCATGATGAAAAGGTAAGTAGATGGGTAAGTAGTATTATTTGTGTTTTGAAACTTTTTTTTTACTTCCAAAATGTAAGGGATAGTAATCCCACTATGGTAAAAGATTCAGCATGTTTAATATTTTTAATATTATGCTTTTCATTGCCATTTTTTATTTATTTCTTTTTTTTTTCTATTTCTCTTGCCTTAATTTCTGAACATCTTTGTTTCCTGACTTCCTATCTTTTCTTCATTTTCTTTCATTTTTGTCTTCTTTCATAATCACTTTCTGTTTTTAGTACTTTTTCTGCCACATATATAAATCTTGAAAGAAATACTGGTGAAGACAGGAAAAGGTTTTCCTGTTACAACTATGCATGTCAAACAGAATTATGGGTTATCCTTGTATAGGACAGTCTATCTACATTTAGTTGCCATGTAAAAACCAGCTGACAAGCATTACTTCACAGGTACAAGAAGACAGGACAGACATTAGCCAGAAAATCAGGCAGAGACGAAGAATATAGTACAATTTAGCTGTTGGCAAGCTGGCAGTTAGTGAAGACACCAAAGAGATGATCCATGTATGCAGTATTGTAGAGTTTCTGCATGATATTAATAGTGTAAATGTTTAGAATAAATTGATATGGATTTCCAAAGGAAATTGAGTCAACACTGAATTGCATAGTTAATGTACGATAAGTAATGCTTTGTCATTTTCACCTGATAGTTTCTGTAATATAGGTTTTTAAGTAATTCCTGTACAAGTTTATCATGTAAGAGCTTAGTGTAGCAACATTTTTGGTGCAGAGTATATTATGAGTGTATCAATGAGACAGTCCAGTAAATCTAATATATATTATTAGACATTGTGAGGGCTATACGACAGGAATCTCATTTTGTAAAGAAAGTGTAACACAGAACGATGGCAATTTCTAAATATTTTAAGGTATAAATTAACCCTTTTTTAACTGGTTTCTTTGCTCTTCAGTCTTGAAAGTATATATTTATCATATTTTATTTCTGAGGCAAATCTGAGAATTGTTCATGTTCATAAATGGCTATGAAATGCACATTCATCAAATTCATTTGAAAATGATATGTATAATTATTAAACTGGGGCAAAGCAAGTTCTTACATCCATATATTTTTCATTATTTTATTTCACATACCTATGAGTATAAAATAATTTTGATTTAAATACAACTTTGTGTTATTCTTTATGTTTGTCATGTGTTTTATGTCGAATAAAAATTATGTTAAAAATTGAATGTTGTCATTAATGTCTTCTCCAAGAGTAAAGTCATTATACCCATGAAACAAAACTTGATTATAAAAGTGTGATTGTAATAAGAGCACACTGGGATGTATTGATGTAATTATGAGTTTTTTGACTTCACTTAATCTCACTTAAAAATTGTGATTTCACAATGTCCATGAAATAATAATTATCTAAATAGTTACTTCCTAACATTATATTTGGTCACTATCCCTGAACTTGAACAGTCTTCGTACCAAAATATGAGATGTAAACAATAATTATCTAAGAATGAACAAATAGTCATAAATTTAATAAGAACTTATATTATGTAATGCGATTTAATTTTATGGACAGAGTAAGCGACTAGTTTAATTTTTAAGGTAAACTAAAAAAAATTACTAAATCTGCTGTTCCTTGCCCTATTAAATATTATGTACTAATAATTTTTGATTTAAACTTTAAAAAACTGCTAATATAAGTTAATTATACCCTGTACATTTATATTAATTTAAATAATTTCCTATACATCTGTTTCTCTAATCTCATCAGAGAATTCCCCTTCAGTTGTATCAGCCAGACATGATTCTGTCCAGTCTTTGTCATTTAGTGTTTCCCTGGTTGGTTTGTCACCAGTTTCTTTCAAAGTTAAACATAAAATCCCAGAAAGTAGTGCAGCCCCAGCAATAAAACCATATGGAATCAATGGACTAATGTGATCCTGCAAAATGAACCAGAAAGATTTRGAGTGTTTTTCATGAACCCGTTAAACAAAGTGCAAGAGCCAAAATACAGGAAGACCCAATCTCGTACCCCAGYGCCTCGACAACCAAGAGAACGAAGGCTCGGGGTACGAGATTGAGGAAGACCTGTACACCAGGAAAGGACCAAGAAAAACAAGTAAATAAAATGTACATGCAAAGTTACTTGGTCCTGTGAGTGTGCAATGATAGAGTGCACACAATATGTCTGTGAAATAAAAACGAACTATTTGCTGAATAATAGTTCTTAGATAGGAACTATTTCGATACTAGCGGTCAACCAGAAAATAGCAAGATAAAGGCACAAACAAAGGGAACAATACTTCATTACAACAACTTCACTTGTTTAAAATACTGGTAGTTACTAAGAACTATAAGATTTTAATGGTATTTCACAGACACTATATTGCTTGCTCTCTAGAAAGCAATCTAACCACCAATTTTAATGCTTGGATGCAAAGGCAATAGACTAAGACTCTGAGGTAACTCACCAATTTTATGATAAAAGGAGTAATAATACCACCAATATCAACTCCTGCATTGGAGACTGCAAAACCTGTACCCCTGCAACACAGTTAGATTTTWAAAAAAATATAGATCCATGGAAAGAGAATCTGATTTTAATGCTCACCTTATGACTGATGGGTAGCACTCCGAAGCAAACATGGTCACAGTGATGTATGCAACTGAAACTGCCATCTTTGCTAGTGCTGATGTTGAGACCCTACCTATTGCAAAACCTTCAAAAATATACAGACAGCACAATTTATAAACTCATTACATACAGTGCTTGTGACTTTGGTATTTTTATTCATCAATTAAGTTAAATGGCATTGAACAATAATTTAGTTCGGTAGTCAATAAATATGATCCCATAGTGCATTACAAATGCCAGAGTCAAAAAAAATTAAATAGACCACTAAGACTACACCTTTTGTTCTCTGACAGTACCTTGAATGAAAAGAGGGATTTTCTTACCTTGGTAACTTCCTGGATCGTACCTTGTAAGGAGTATTACAAGAACTGCACCAGTTGCAGCAACAATCAAACTAATTGCAATCACTTTCCTTCTGCCCAACCTTCACAAATCAAATAACAGAAAATTTTTGCTTTCATTAAATTCTAATTACCATAAGTTATTTGTTCTTGCATTTTCATTTAAAAGGGCAAGGCTCTGGCTGGGTGTTATCTAGAAATGGCGTCAGTGGTCTGGATATCTAGTTGATTTTATAGTCCTTATGAAATATAAACCAAAAATTTTATAGATCAAAAACAATACAAATTGTTATACAGTCATTTTGATACAGTGATTTGATACGCACTCAATGAACTAAATACACATTACTAGTACATACAACTTGAATCAAATGGAATAAAAGGAATTAGGTCTGAAATAAGTAGCAAAGACACTTTGTAGAAAAATAATATACTGCACAAGCTTTCAGTGGTGGAATACAGGAATGGGTGAGTGGTCCAGTAGTCCTCATGGCAATAGTAGCCCCACAGTCAAGCTTCCGGCAGAGCAATCTATGTACTACAAACACAGTTTATCCTGCACTTAAAAGAATACCGGTCAATTCGTTCCGAAGTCAGTTCGCTACCAGTCAATTCGTTACGCATCTTAACGAATGTTGAGTCAATTCGTTACTTGTTCACATTGATATAAATATAATCATAAGTAATTTGTCTAAAGTCATAAATCATTGAATGCTGAATGAACTGAGTTTAACTTGATTTTAGTCAAGCTATAAGCGTAAAAGTATAAGTTTACTTATATTGTGAATGAATTATTCCAAGTCACACGAGAATGTGTCACACACTGAGACAATGAGATATTTACCTTTTAATAACCACCATACAAATGAAATTAGCAGGGATCTCAATAATACCCATGATAAATACATTGAGGTACATATTCCCACCAAGAGATGGTGAAGTAATGGTGACTGCCAAGTATACCACAGTTGCTGTGAGCCTTAAGGCAAAAAATGTTCATTCTCATGAAATATGTTTACTTTTAAGCAGGGTATCTGAAGTCTAAAAAGGGTGTGATGGGGTGAGAGGAGGTATACTTACGAAATAAAAAATACAGAAACTGTTATGTGCAACATCTTTCTGGTTCTGATTAAATCAAAAAAGTTTCCTTTTCTTTGTTCTTTAGTAAACACCAAACCATCAAGAGTCTCGCCAGGCGGGTATTCACGTCTATTTGTCTTGGCAATTGTCATCAATGTTTTCCTAGCTTCAGCTGTTTTGTCTTTTAAAAGGAGGAACCTTATTGACTCGGG